ACCATAAAAAAAAACCCGGGAGCCATGGTTCTCTGCGAGAGATCCCGATAATCGCAGTCCGCGATTACCCGATAGCTCCGCTATCGCCCGAGCACGGAAGAAGGACTCATTTTTCGCGGTCCGCCGGACACCCGTGTCCTCACACGCGGACTCCCCGCGACACACTCACTATCCTACCTACCGCTCTTCGCGGTAGGTCAAAAATCAAAACAAATCTCCTCTCCGGCGCCCTCCTAGCGGACCCGCAAACCGTAGCCGATCAAAGTTCTCGGGGTACTGGCAGTGCGTCCTGGCGGTTGAGCACCCCTTGCGTGCGGGCTCTCAACCCAAAAGGGCTCCGTGCCTCCGCCGCCAGTCCACTACTTTTCCCCGCTCCCTCCTCCTAACCACGGACCTACGAACTCTTTGGAGATGGAGGCTGGAGGCACTGCCGTGCTGTCGGCAATGCGCGGAGGTGCGGGGCTTCTGTAATGTGTCGTCCTGACGCCACGTTACAATATATATAATCTATATATATTCTGTATTCTCTTCTTTTCTTCTTAATGCTCACTTGCAGAGCGTTCACAGCGACGCTTGTGATGAATCTTACAACTATAATCTATCTGACGTTTTCTCGACCAAAAAGTTCGGCTCTTTTCCATAAACGTTCGACCTCCTTTACTCTAGTCTCCATGGTGCAGGCCGTACAACGTTTGAGGGGGTTGGAGCGCTCGCGCCGGTCAAATCAGTGTTAAATTTTAGTAATCGTTTTTGTAAATTTAATGCATTATGTAATATTGGTCAGATAATATTCTTGTAAATTCATCGCTCTGAATTTTTCTATGGGAATTTTTCTATCTGAATTTTTTCACTGCAATCAATTAATTCATAAAACTTCGTAAAAACGATAAAAATTATTGACTACTGATTTGACCAGCGTGAAGCGCTTCAATCTCCTTAATACGTTGTATTTAAAAAAAAAAACATAACGTCCAGAAGAAGAAAAAAAAACTTCCGACGGAGAGTTTCGAACCACAGACCTCTGGCCTCCTAACCCAATGCCTTGCCTATGGACCAACATCATGTACTTTGTATACTTACTTCGGAACTGAGAGATAAACCATATCCACGATTTTCCTTTAAACACACAATCATCTTACCTAAATTATTAATAAAAAAAAAAATGAGAAGCTACCCTAAAACATTAGGGTAAGGTCTACACAAATAGCACATAGTTATTTAAGAAAATGATTTCATATTTATTTATGTGCACTTGCATATGTGATCTACAATCTGAAAATATACATTCCCAATAGAAAGCAATAAGAATTATAACACTGAAATATGTTTCTATTATATAATCTTTGATACATGTGATAAATCCTACAATTTTTCCATCATTAATTCTATTTAGAATGTTATTAATGTGACTTGGAACAAATGGTGTTCGTTTCTCGCACACAATTTGCGCGTGCGCGCCACAGTGTCTTTTAGTATAAATCCCCACTCATAGGCAGCGCCACAAGATAGCTTGGGATTTTCGGGGCGCCATCTACCCGCCGGAATTGGAACTAAAATTTTACTATAGTATATGCTTGACATACCCCCACCACGTCCTCCGCACCTCTATACCTATCTACACTCAACGGTGCTAGATCATATAATAGGCAAGAAGCATGTAGTGACTTACGTACTTGGCCTTAATGATATGATTTCAATACTTTTTGTTAGAGGAATTCACAGCACTCCTGTACTTGGCGTGGGTTTTTACACATAAATGTTTTTTGGGGGATATCACAAGTTTTTGTTGCTCAACGGAATAAAGAAGCTCTAAACGTTTAAATCTATATTGTTACAAATATAAAATGTAAATGCATTGTGATATTGCTAATCAGAAAAATATATTGCGTTGTCGAAAACGTTTAACGGCATATAAATTTAATTTGTAAGTCCATTTTTTTTTTTAAATGTGTGTACGTCCTGATCCCGTACACTAATCGTATTGAATTTGGTGGCAATCAATTCAGAACCCTTGATTCCTACAGTGAATGTATCAATAAAGTTTTCTCACATACAGCCGTTCATAAGATATTTGAGTTGAAACACAGGTACAAGAAATGATTCCCTGAACGGAAATTTGTTTCGCTCATATGAAGACATCAAAAAATGGCTTGATTCGTGGATAGCCTCAAAAGATGAACACTTTTACCGTAATGGTATTCGAGCTCTACCAGAAAGATGAGAGAAAGTTGTAGTTAACGATGGGCAATACATTGAATAATTCATTTGTATCCGTTTTTTCACACTAAAGTTGCATTTTCATAAAAAAAAATAGCGAGAACTTAATTGCGCACTTAATAAATATCACAACTGGAAATATACGAAACTGCGAACACCGCTTTCGAGGAGCCCAGTTTTGGTGGTTGATTTCACTCCCTAAAACCGTTTTACCGCCGACAAAAAAAAAACACGTGTCTCTTACATTTTTATGAAGAATAACATATTTCGAAACGAACGAAATCGGAGAATGACACCTGAGGTACCTTCCTCATAAGATAACATCGGGAATAACACAGGAACATGTATGCTATCTGTTTATTTACAGGAATCACTACGTTAAGGAAATGTTATAGATAATTTTTTAAATATTAACTTAGGTATCAGAAATTTACGTAGGGTGTTCCGAAAGTACCGAATAAACATTTAAGTGTAGATAGTATTTTTTCCGCTGACCAACCGTTTGTAAGATATTAATTAATTAATGGTAGCGAATGATGTTCGTCTGATAGAAATGGGAAGAGACGTAGCGCATCTCACTATCGTGATAGAGGCGAATAGTATAAGTTTGGGGGTTCTGGATATAGATTCCTGCACCGACATAATACCCACACTCCAGAGCCTTCGAAGGTGGGTGTCCGTGCTAAGTTGCCGTCGTGAGCTCTACGATTTCTGAAAGTGACGTCATCAGGACCCTCGATTCCAAGAATTTTTGCTTGATTCCGGGAATTTTGCGTCACATTCCGGGAATTTGGCGCTCGATTCTAGGAATTACGCACGATCGAGAACCTTCTAGAACATTCTGGAAGCTTCGACGGTTCGTGTCCGTGCTAAGTCGGGAAGGATCGCTCCCAGAGCCGACGGTCCTTTCGCGCGACGTTTTGAGACAGCCCCTTGCCCCCCACCCCGGTAAACCTTCCAGAAGCTTCGACGGACCCGTGCACGTTCGTGCAGGTTTCGGACGTCAGCCCTCAGCCCGTTTGACCTCGAACGTTATCTCGCAGAATTGCGCA